TATCAAAATCCTTTATTGAATTATAAGACGAATCTCTACAAGCAGGGCTGGAAGTTAACAGCCAAAAAAAAAGAAAATACATGACCATGATAAGAGAAGAACAAACAGATGAAGCAATTAAAATTAGAAACCAAACTTTTGAAAAAGTAAATTAATTCAAATACCTAAGATTCTTGTTAAATGAAAGAAAGAATATCAGCCGGAAACAGGGCATACATCAGTAGTCAGAAAATACTCAAAAGTAAAAACATTACAAGAGAAACAGAAATAGAAAACTATTTATAAAACTGTGATCAGACCAGTTGTAACATATGCAAGTGAAACCTGAACCCTAACAAAAACAACAGAAAAAATATAAAACATGCACTTGGGAGAGGAAAGTTCTCAGGAAAATATATGGACCAACAAAGGATGAATATAGATGGAGAATACGAACCATTGGATGGAAAATACGAACCAACCATGAATTATACAGTCTATATCAGGATCCCACGATAGTAGCAGAAATAAAAAGAGGCAGGCAACGCTGGGCAGGACACCTAGAGAGAATGCCAAATGACAGAGGAACGAAGAGGGTGCATCACCAATATCCCAGAGGAAAAAGGCTCAAAGACAGACCTAGGCTTAGGTGGATATTATAGATGATATGGAAAAAGATCTACTGCTGAAAGTCCAAGCATGGAAAAGAAAGGCATTAGTTAGGTCTGAGTGGGAGGAAGTGGTGAGGCAGGCCAAAGCCCTACATGGGCTGTAGCGCCACAGGGATGGATCGAAAATTAACAATAAATTGATCGTGGGCCCTTCATATAAAGAAGAAAAAGAAACAAATTAGCCGCTTTTATCTCTCCTTCCCGGAGGCGATACGAATTTTTTTTTAATGAACCCACTTTCCCTCAGGCCACAAATACAAAGTATGGATGTGAAATTGTTTTTTTTTATAACGTATATATAATATATATATATATATGTATATATATAATATATACATATATATATATATACATATATATTTATTTTTATTTGTTTGCAAAGTGGTTTTAGAAATCCAAGTTTAAACAAGATTACGTTTCACAATCGAGTCCAAGAGGAACGCATATGGACGGCGTTCCTGTACTTTTTTTGTTGTTGCCAAGATTTAAATACATATTTATTTTGGCTTGTGGGGTGGGGGTCTTGGATAAGTTCCCATACTTGCCCCATCCCGGTACTTGACACTTACTCGCAATGCATGCTAAACCTTTTCTCTAAGTCATGTCAGATAGACGTGATATTTTATAAGACAGTCCATCCACGGGCACAAGGAGAAAGGACAAAGAGGGCTGTTCACCTCAGGAGGCATTATTTTGTGCCAAGTTAAATTGTTAAAAAATAAGTAAGCCTAATCAAGATTTTTAAAAAAGAACAATAACAATAAACCAATGTTAAATGTATTATTTTATAATTAAAAAAAAATAAAACACTTTATTGCTGTATAATGCATAAAATTGGTAGCAAAATAGGTCGCCTTAATCTAGCAAACGTAATTTTATGTAATTAAAAAAAAAATAAAACACTTTATTGCTGTATAATGCATAAAATTGGTAGCAAAATAGGTCGCCTTAATCTAGCAAACGTAATTTTATGTAATTTTAAAAAAAAATCGGTAAACGGTTTGTGAAAATCAACAACTTTTTTTTTTTGTTTCAAAACCATAAACCGGATAACCGTTTATCGTTCAATATCCGTAATTCAAAGAGACTTGAAATTGACACTTGGACTTATCCATAAATAAATGCACGTTGCGTAAAAACAAAAGTAGAATTTGGCAGTCTTTAACACCCATAATTTTAGCCAAGCTACATAAAATGGGGTATTTAATTCCAACTAATATCCGATATCAAAAATGTGTACTATACTTTTTAACATAGACTGAACAAATATATATGTATACTTTTTAAGTGTCAAAATTTGTGATTGAGACCTTGACAACATAAAACCACCATGAACTCCCGGACAACGTTGCTAAACCGGCAGAGGCGTAGCGATGGTGTTTGGCGCCCGGGGACAAGATTCGCACCCGGGGACATGATCATTTTAAGGCGCCCCTTTTTCTTTTTTTCAACTCTCAAACCAATTATTTTCACCAATAAAATAATATCAAAGCACATTTTGGCGCCCCTAACTAGCTGGCGCCCGGGGACATCTGCCCCCCCCTGCCCGCCCCCTCGCTACGCCTCTGTAAACCGGGACGATCGTCTTCCAAACGCGATATAATGGAAGCCTAAATTTCAATGCTAGGCGTACTGTCCTAAAAATTTTTAAACAGAGGCAAGGTCACTACCTCTCACTGTTTGGGGGGCCGGGCTCTACTTTAAAAAAAATATGAACGAATTCATTTTAATCGAATTTTCTTTGTAGTGAAAAAAAAAACAAAACAAAAAAAACAGGAAAAACTAAACAATATTTAAAATAAAGAACAATTTTAACCAACATAAACTTATTTCAATGGGAATTATGGGCCTGCTTTTGGCTAATGAGATGGTCGATGATGGATTTGATATGTTTCTCTGTTCGTCGCACTAGTTAGTATGGATCTTGTTGTAGATTTGAGATATTTCTAATTGGGGGGGGGGGGGGGGGGGTGTGTTCACAGACACAGGTGATCCCGAAAAATGGTTGCCATTTTGAGTGCATGTTTCCTGAGATTAAGAAATGTCTCAGAAGGGAGAGATGGATAGAAATTTATAGGACGTCCGATGAACTGGCTAGTTTAGGCCAGTCCAGATACAAATCATTCACAGTTTGGTGAGTCATTTCATAGATATACTATCAGGCGATTTTAAAATGTTCAAATTTAAACTAAGTACATTTAAAATCTATTGGGGTCATTGGTAATGGGTGTCCTAAAATAAAAAATTATTTGTGATCACACGAAGAGTTCTGAAGAGTTCTTCTGTCAATGAGGCATTCTTTTGAACTAAATGTTGCTGTAATGCCACTTTGAATTAATTATATTTATTTTAGCAATGTCATTAAGTATTAATATATATTCCTGAATATTAGATGTACTTGATCTTTTGATAAGTTAAACATTGATAGTTAAAAATAAATACATTCTACTTAAACTAAACTGGTTTCAGCTCACGAAAAAGAGGGAAAAGGCACAAATACCAGTATTGTCTTGGTACAATCATTACGAGGTACCCGTTCACAGCTTTACTACGCTAAGCCGCACGGTGACAGGCCTGGCTGGAATAAGGATCTGGCCCGCGGGACGTAGTTTGAGGACCCCACTGGTCTAAAGTTAAAGTATCATTAGGGGGCCATCCATAAATGACGTCACGCGTCTAGAGGAGTGGGGGGGCAGATTTTTGTGAGATGTGTGTCGTGGGGGTGGGGGAAGGCTTGAGCTATGTGACGTCACATGAAAAGCGGAATATCATAGTAAAGACTTGCACTTAATGACCCCAACTTACAGACATTTTGAACATTATTCTTTAAAACTACGATCACTGTGAAAATCCGTACAGGTATGTGAGGTCCGAAAAATGGCCTCTGATCAAGTTAGAGGACGCCAGCGAGGAGTTACAATGACAATCGTGAGAATTTATGGCTAAATGTGGACACGGGAGTCATAGATCTAGTACTACCACGGGAAGTGAGGTGGAATGAACAAAAAATGGTTGACCCGGGGGTGGTGGGGTGGTGATACAATCCTAGTAAATGCCATAGGGCAGGGATTCGTAACCGTTTTTTCAGCGCTGCAAGCCGACTCTGTTTTCAGCACCACCCCTCCCCAAACCATTTAAATAATATTGTAATAAAATTTAAAATATGAAAATAATTAAATCATTTAGTTATCGTAGTCGTAGTTTTATTTCTTTAATTAACTTTTTATAAACAAGGGGGGGGGGGGGAAATAAAAAAAAAAAATGCACCAAAAAAAAAAAAAAAAAAAAAAAAAAACAACAAAAAAAACTTTTGGCCAATCATCCACGTTGTTGCATAGCATCATTACTTTGCCCAACTGAACACACAGACTTAATTATCTTACAAATTTGGTAAAACAATATGATGTTTTTCAAGTGGATTGCCAACAAAGTAAGTTTTAAAAAGTAAGGAAAACGTGTGTATACGTAAATGTATATTTAAAGATCNGGGGGGGATCTAACTTTTTTTTACGATGCGGGGAGGGGGTGGGGGTTGAAAAAATCGGCAAAATTTGCGTGACGTCATTAATGGATGGCCCCTTATTCCATATTTATTAAGAAAAATGGTACTTCAATTTTAATTCACAGCAAAAATTATCATTACTGCTATTCTATTTATATGCAGTTATATCCGGTTTAATAAATACAACTGCTTCAGTAGACACCATGAATTCTTTGACAATTTCTGCCTTAGTTCACAATGAAGTCAGTTGTATCTTTTTTCTATAACAACACGGTATTATACATTATATGCTGTCAGACGATGTGCTAAAAACCACGAAGTTAACGGAATGCCAATACTCAACGCATGGAGCATACGTGAAAATTGGCAAAAGAGAGAAACAATGGCACACACAGACTTATGCTGGATTCTCATATGTGTGGGTTCATGTGACGTCGACGTGTTAAAGCAAATGGCTTGAATGTCTTCAACGCCATTCTAAACGATATTGTTCAAATTTGGCCACCACAGTAGCGGAGGACTTTAAAAGAAGTAAATATGTTTTCATGCAAAAGAACATTGTTTTTATTGGAAGTGTGAAGTGTTTTAATGGAAATGTGAAATAATGTATAATGTATAATGAACAATATTTTTTTGCGTTGAATTAAACGTTTTTATTCAAAAGAACATTTGTTTTATTGGAAGTGTGAATAATAATAATTTTGGCAGTGAATTAAAATTGAAGTACCAGAAAAATTAGCGTATACTTATTAAAATCTTTAAAAAAATTTGATTTATTTGAATCCTGCATTCAAAGTATTATTTCTCTTAAAATTCTAAAATATACTTTTCTTTACAATATATATTCCGGGGGAAGCTTTTGCAGTTTCATTTTGAACCGGATGTAAAAGTTTTCTTCTCGTCCTTTTCCGGTTATATCCTAATCATGGTAGGTAGTAACATCCTAATTCCTGAAAATATAACTTTAAAAAATCTGTTGAAATCCTCTATATCTTACATTATTTTAAGTCATCGATCCTTAAATTTATATGTTTTATATGCATTGGCATTTGCAAAGATTCTTTATTGTTAGCAGAATGGGAGGAAATTGGAACGATTATTATTTATTTTTGTTGTCGAAATGATAATTTTGGCGTATTTACATTTTGCAATCGCTTTTTATGTAAGCCTGTTTGAATTTAACTATCGAGTTTAATTATTGTTCAAACTTTCATAGAAGATAGGAAATAATTTATCATGTGGTAGGGTGGTGCATCAAATTTAAAGATGCTCAATGACAGGAACAGAAACATTGCAAATCCCATCTACATGCATAGGAGCCAAAATGATCAATAAATTGATCGTGGGCCCTTAAGATATAGAAGAAGAAGAAGACTGATAAATTTAGGGTAATGAAACTCATCGTTCAACATTCATTAAGAATTTAAGATTCATTATTTATCATTCATTATGAGCGATATTATTTTCAACTCTTGAGGACTCTAACCAATAACCAGGACTAATGATTGGGTTAGTAGTCAGTAAACCTATGCCTACCCATCTTTTTGAGGTGCTATGATGAAAAGAATTTCTTCACCTGAATTCTTTAACTAGTTTTACGATGAAATTTGACACCTGAGCACCACAATATTTTAATTGTCCAAACATTTTATTTCCGTCAATTATGCAATAAATTGAACTAAGATTCAGATGACCTTAGTGAGTAGTATAGGTGTATTTTAAAATATTTTTTAAAAGTTAAAGAGTGTTAGTTATATATAAAGTATTATTCTGATTCTATTTCAGCCTCCCCCAAAGTCAAAGAAAGGCAAAAAGAAGGTGGCTGCAGCACCGCTGCGTGCCAAGGTAGAGCCCAAAAAGATTGTTAACCCTCTTTTTGAGAAGCGACCAAAGAATTTTGGCATTGGCCAAGACATTCAGCCCAAGCGAGATCTTAGCCGTTTTGTCAGATGGCCAAAGTATATCCGTCTTCAAAGACAAAGAGCTATTTTGTACAAGAGACTCAAAGTTCCTCCTCCTATTAATCAGTTTACTCAAGCTGTTGACAGACAGACAGGTAGGGATTATTTTAAAACAATTGATTTGAAAGTAATAATAGTAATATTCTTATGACAATTTTAATTTTTTTATTTGTGTGTCAATGCCAAGTCTTTGGGTTTACATCAGATTCTTGTTACTTGTTGGATTGGTTCAGTCGGTAGCTTTAAATGCGTTTTGAATTATTGTGGGAAATGTTACAAATCTGGTGGACATTTTTACATTTCACAGCCACCCAGTTGTTTCGTCTGATGGATAAATACAGACCAGAGGTCAGAAAACAGAAAGAAGCCCGTCTTCAAGGCCGTGCTGAAGAGCGTATTGCTGGAAAGGTTGACACTCCCACAAAGCGTCCACCTGTTGTGAGATCAGGAATTAACACAATCACAGCTCTTGTTGAGTCTAAAAAGGCTCAACTGGTCGTCATTGCTCATGATGTTGACCCTATTGAGGTTTGTATTTTGGCAGTGTCTTCACGTGGCCGGGCGTATATCTCCCGCACTATTTGTGCGGCGACCAAGTCACATGACCGCTGCAACAAACTGGCTCGATATTTGTCCGTCAGCCTTGTCATGTGACCGCGAATGATTCAAAACTATTCTTAATTTTAAAATCTATCTCTCGACCAAGTAATTAACTGAGTATCTTGCAAACAAATAATTGAAAAAAATACTTAGGTTTATATCCAAAACAAAGGGGGAGAATTAAGCAATCATGCATTCAAGAAGGAAGGAAGCAATGCTGAGAAGGAGAGAAAAACGATAATAAAAAATATGATTGTTTTTAAAAAAAATTGTGAGGGTGATAAATAATTAAGTTTAAGGCAGGGAGACGATAGTTCACAAAGAAATAAGACCCTACATCTTAATATAATATAGGGCCATTATAGTGGTAGCCTACCCTACTTCAATACTAAATACTAATCCTGAAATAGGTCTATTGAAGTCTACTGGTCTTATTTTATTTGGTTCATATTTTAAATTTAACTAAGATAAGGGATGTTTTTCTTTGAAGAGTCAGAATCAAATAAACTATTAATACTATAGGCACTCCAACTCAAATTTTAAAATACACCTGACTTATAAAAAGAGCATATCATTGGAAAGAGCTGGCTCTAAGCTTTCCAATGACACTGAGATAATCTTTCTATCACTTACAGGAGAAAAGTTATGAATTTTTTAGTGATTTATTTTTCCCCACTATTTGGCTTTGTATTTAATTTTTAAAACCGAGATCTATATTACTCTTTTTGTACTATTTTGCTTGTATCTCTTTGGTTATTAAAGTTAGAGCTCTCAAATTTGGAGGAGACATTTAAAATACAATGTAAAACAAATGAATTGTGAATTAACTTATTATATTTGATAAAATATGATTTTATTAGCATATGGCGTTGATACGACTATTGTCAAAAAATTTAATTATACAAAAAATGACAATTACTAAATCAATAAAGCTATTGCTATATAATTTTCAATACAAACAGATAATGAATGACCATCTAAAAAGTAAGGCACATTTAAAATAAATAACATACTGATTAGAAAAAATTATGCAATTTTTATAAAAAAAATATTTAATGAAGAGCAACTGCGGCCGAGAAGTTTTTACATTAAAATACATAACTTTTATTAAACTAATGAAGCTACTGCAATCAAACTTTCAGTAAAAATAGTAAGTGACAATCCGAATGTAACAGAATATTCAAATATTGCAAATAAAATCATGCTATACAAAATTTTAAAATATCATGTAATCTGTTGACATTTTGATGTACATTTTTAAGCATAACTTTTTAACTGAAAATGCTACTTCAATAAAAACCTTCAGTACAAATAGACAGTGACAATTTAAATTTAATAAAGTATTTAAATACAAAAACAATAATTCAGAGCATTTTATATAAAAGATATATGAATCTACATCAACATTATTGTACCGGTGCATTTAAATACAAACCATCCAATGCAATGTAACAATCCACGGTCCACAGCAAAGATTGTATCCTTGTCCACCTGAAAGTATACAAAATAATAAAAATTAAATTATACAATGAGCCAATAAATTTAATCAAAACACGAACAAAATGAAAATCTCCCATAAGGACTTCAGAAACTAAACCACCTGAAAGTATACAAAATATAAAAAATTAAATTTTGCAATGAGCGAACTGAAAATTCAAATAAATTTCATCAAAACACAATGTAACAAATAGAAAATCTTCCATAAAGAAATCAGAAACTAAATGTATGTCCACCTGAAAATATACAAAATATTAAATTTTACAATGAGCAAACTGAAAATTCAAATAAATTTCACCAAAACACAAACAAAATGAAAATCTCCCAAAATAACATTAGAAACTAAATGTGACAATGTTATTTCTTCATGATCTATGTCAGAAAATACCAACTTACAAAACAATTTTCCAGATTTCTTAACATATCCAACTAAATCTCCAATAAACTCCTCTTCCCCATCAACATCCCAAATGTGCCTAGTTCTCATATGAACATTTGGACATTTACATGAAAAAGAAATATGTTGAAATCTAAAATAGACAATACTAGAACAATTTCTGATATATATAATGAACAAACTTTAACAAAGTGTTAAATGTGTTCAATAAAGAGTGACATTCCCACCGGATGAATGTCAACCACACTATTAGCAGCCTGTGTACATATGTAGATCTTAAACCAACACCCCTTACAGATTTTTTTTTCTTGGCAGGTCTGATTATGTGATTAGTTTTATGTCTATTTAAGCTTTAAGTGGCTTATATAGCTTGATCATTTTGTTCACATCATATCACAAAAGGCGTATCAAAGTATTTGAGGATTTCAATAGCAGGGGTCTAGTAACTTTTTTTAGCTCTTACCCCAAAATATATTTATTTATGCTGATGTTGCCCCCCCGTGGATTAAACGGAAAAACTATTTCAATGTTAGGTCTAGTATATAACTTCAGTGTATAAAAGTATAACATAAATGCACTTAAATCCTTGAAACCGTTAAGCCTGTTTTTAAAACAAAATGCAACAGGCCAAAATAAGGTAAAGACAAGACGTGCATCTAAGCCTACTTCCCATCCACTTTTAACCACATGGATGCTTTTCTCTAATGCACTGGTCAGGTGTAGTGTTGCCAGAAAAAAGATTCTGTCTTAACAAGGAAGATGCTTTTTATGTATTTTTAATTTATGTCTTTAATTCTCATCACCCCCAAGAATGTCAATTTTACTCTGGATGGTTCATTTACAAAGGTTCACAAGGGCTTACAATATTTTTACAAAATCTATAACATACCGGTACTAGTACTATTTTGTGACACAATTTATATTTTAAGTTTTTTTTTTAGTAAAATGTAAATCCTGTGCAATGATGTGAGAATTTCTTCGCCTGAAATACATTTCATGATGTCATCTGACACCTGAGCACCTTTTTTTTTCCTCTTGACATTTCCCATCCCCCAAAAAATTATCTGAATTACTAAATTTCAAACACAAATGGCGGTAACTTAATAAATTTCTGATTTGTTAGGCCTACCAATTTATAATAAAGAGATTGAACATATATTAGTTCTTGGCATTTCTTTTCCTTGCTCACTATAATTTGTGAGCACTTATTGTATAGAAACCGAGCTCTAGGGTTCTTTACAATTTAGTTTTCAAAAATGATCACGGAATTTCATATTTCAGATTGTGTTGTTCCTGCCTGCTCTGTGTCGTAAAATGGGAGTCCCCTATTGCATTGTGAAAGGAAAGGCTAGACTTGGACAAGTTGTTCACAGAAAAACTGCTACCTGCTTGGCCTTCACCCAAGTACACCCGTAAGTAACATGCCAACCTAATTTCAGTTCTAGTTTTATCCATTGAATTTTGGGTCTGTGATGATACATGACTACTGATTTCCGTTGAAGAGAGATCTCTTGGCTGTGTCTGAACCCTGTGTAAACTTGAGGCTTGTGCTTAATGTTCCCATAATTTTATGACTGCATATAATTTATCTAATCCACATTTATCAGCCCCATTAAATTTGGTCTGTGTAGTGAACTTCCGTCTTAGGATTAGTTCACAATTTAAAAAGCTCCTGCAGTTTTGCTCAATGGGCAGTTAAATAGGCTTCATGTTGGCTAAGAGAACACTATTCTAGGGTGCACTTTACTGATTCCATTCATAACTGCAAGCAGTAAAAAAAATCAGGTTGAAAAAACTAAGTTCTTTACTTACACTGCATTTCTGAATAACAATTTCACAAACGTCCTCTATTAAAACCTAACCACCCTAACAATAACACTACACGGCCTCTGAAAAAGTAGGACTTGGACTACAATGATAACTACCACTAGACTCTCAAAAATACTTATTTAACTGTATTCACACAGTATTTAAACACCTCCATTTTTTGAATGTCCTTGCATAACCCGACTGTTCACCAAACTATGCTCACAAAACCTTTTCATAACGGGCATTAATGGGCTGTGATGATACACAATGAATGCTGATTTTTACTGAAGATATCCTTGGCTGTGTCTGAGCCCTTTTTGATTAACTTATAGGATTACATTAATCACAAATCTCAAGTGTAGTGACTTACTATTTTCATCCCAGTAAAGTGCTTTTATTTTTTTTGTGCATCGACTCATGAAATGCTTCTTTTAACCGATTGTCTTAGGATTTTTAAAAAAATCTTTGTAAATTATTGAACTACAACACAAAGTGCCAGCTCATCTGACCCCACTGTACGAGTTAATTAAAACTCACTGGGTACATCCGATTGCAAATAGAGACATTGTGTTTATGGTCAGCATGAAATTTCTCTGCTCAACGGTATGTCATATATCCGTATTTGATTACATGCTCATAAGTCATCACACCATTTTGAGCACCTCCTTTTGCATTAGCAATGTAAACTTTGATCAATAAATATATCTTACCAGACTGCGTTTAATCAAATGCATGTATAATGTACCTCACTTTAAGGAGAAATAATGCACAACCATCCACAAGGTATTGCGTCGACTGCTAATGCCTAACAATTACTAGTGTATTCCAATACACGACACATATTTTGCGCAGGACGAAGTTATCCATTGTACTTGTACTTCTGTTACCATTTTTATGTTCTTTACCGCTGACATTGCTTGTGATGATGAACATATTTTAACAGCTGATTTTCAATGAGGCTTGTTAATGAGCTTTTTAACCCTGAGCAAGCAGAGAATAGTTTATATATATAATACTAGTGTTTTGGATTTGTGTTATATTTTTTTCTGTTTTTTTGTCTGCAGTGAGGACAGGCCAGCCCTTAACAAGTTGGTTGAAGCTGTCAAGACCAACTTCAATGACAGGTTTGATGAGGTAAGCACTGTTTTATGTTTTTTAATAAATATAATTTATGAATGCTTGTTATGATGAAATTTTTACAGTTGATCTCCTGTGAAGCATTTGTAAGTAGAGCTTTTTAACCCTGAGCAAGCACTTATTACTAGCTATTTCATTATTCTGACTTAACTTATTACTGATGTTTGATTATTTTATTTCTTATCCAGATTCGAAGACACTGGGGTGGTGGAGTTATGGGTTCCAAATCTCAGGCTCGTGTTGCCAAAGTTGAAAAAGCCAAGGCAAAAGAAATAGCACAGAGGGTTGGATAGTTACCAGATTTACTGAATAAATTGAGGTTGATAAAATGGTGCACATATTTGTTAATTTATCTGGTTAACCATATTATTTAGTAAATGGTTCTTATGAGAGATGTTATTTTATGACCGACTTTGTTTCTGGTTCAATTTTTCTACATTTCTATGATGAAAATACAAATATCTGTTTGAGAGCACATGGGCTGCATGTCAATTCTTGCATTTTCTCATGATAAGCTGAACTTTCGACACATAATTATTTCACTCTCATACACATACTTAAAAATGAAGCAATTTTTGGATTAAGAAAATTTGTAATTGTTTAATATTACCAAAATGCAATACTAAGTATGGTAGAAAATAAGTTTGAAAGACATAGACAATTCAAAGTCTAGTAATACTTATGTAAAAAATATTAATTGTTTAATATGACCAAAATGCAATACTAAGTATGGTAGAAAATAAGTTTGAAAGACATAGACAATTCAAAGTTTAGTAATACTTATGTAAAAAATGTTATTCACTCGTGCCACCTGACAGTCTGTGAACACTTTTTTGTGGAAATTCTCCATTAATGTTAAACTTATTGAGGGACCCGGTGGAATTTATAAATCCAAATAGTTATATTATCGAGGAGTACCCAGTACCGGTATTCATTATTTTAACATGTTTGTTTTTATGAAGAGTATAGGAGTACTTTGTTGTAGTTTGCCAGGGGACATAATTTTAGCTATTCAATTTATTTTCTTATAATAAATATAAATACATGTTTTCAACTGTAATAAAAATTTAAGCAAAGTGATGGATGTCTGAAGACTAAATAACAGTTTAATCAAAATCATTTATAGATTATGAATACCATAGTGAAATTATATCTTAATCTTACACTAAGTTACACTAGAAATGCTCATGCTAGATCAACAGCTGTAAATTGTGTTTGTGGATTAACAAGTGCATCAGAAAGTGGGGTTGGTTCAGTCTCACTTAGTGAGCGTAGATCATGAAGAAAACCCTCTGGAGTCAGGATGTGTGTAGAACCTGATAACAGAAGGAAATATATATATAAGCGAAAGTATGGGGAGACCTGGCGACAAAAAAAAGTACCGGTACACAGACCATGTCCTAATGAAGCCTACTTCAGCAAACATACAACAGTACAAACAATACATCTATAAATAATAAAACAGGCTGCAGTTGTAGGAAGGCAAGAGGAATGTGATAGAAATTAGTAACATATTGTAGGTGAGAAATCTAATACTAATACGGGCAAATTGGGAAGGCATAGGAGAAGTAAGTCCTGCGATTGTTCTTTTTAGGAAGGAGTGGAGTGAATGAGAACATGAGGTCTATGCAATGTGGTTTCAAGGTCACATAAGGTTGAATAAGTTAGTTTTCCCAAATTCATCCGTTTTGGCATACAAGACAACGACTGTCCTTAGGGAAGAGAAAATTCAAAGAAGATGAAATATTGTAATTCAGAAAAGGGTGGGGGTGGAAAGAAGTGTTGAGTACTGGGCAATTAGTATTAGCTGTGGCTGTCAGTAGGTTTTAAGTACCAGGTACAGTAGATAGAGGTTTGTAAGCTGTCTTTGTGTCTGATGACTAATATTATCCAAAAAGTTTACAGAGACCAGTGATGGAAATTTAATGCCGGGGGGGGGGGGGGGGGGGGGGTGAAAAGGGCCTTCAAAGTTGATGAAGAGGTCCCATTTGAAGTAGAAGTATAAGAATTGTTTTGTTACCTTAGAATTTTTGTGGGTTGCATTTCACTTAACTTAAAGAATGATTATTTACTATTATTAGTATTATGGCTTAGTATTTTTTTAAAAGTATTTGTACTGGTAAATGTAATGTAGTAATAGTATCAAATCTTTCATAGAAAATTTCCAGTTAGCTTTTAATAAAACCTTCCCAATACCTTCAGTGATAGTGATAGTATTTCTCATTATTCTGGCAGTTGCATACTGCAGTACCTATGTACACTCCTTTCACACACAATTTCAATTTGGCCAACTCTACACCATGTAACGGTATATGGAGTAAAATAAGATAGACTTCTATTTCTAAACCGGTAATTAATTCATTTTTCAACTTCTCATTTGCATTTCATAAACTTTCAATACCAGTACTTTCAAACTTTCATGGAGTCATTTCAATTCAATTAAGATTTAAATTATTTTAATAGAATCACTCAGACTCAACAAAGATCTAACCTATTACAACTTCCCAGTCCTCGGAAGCCTCTGTGAATGTGTAAGCACCTCTAATCTCAGAGTAGGTCACACCACCTACAATAAAAACAAACAGCCTCGAGCGTTTCTTCTTTTTATCCGCAGATTTGTGTCTTGCACTGGATCAAATTCAAATAAAATAAATTAGAAGTAAGGGTGAAAGTGAATTTTCAAATTATGTCATTTTTTTTTCCCAAGACATTTTAATGGCAGTACCAGTAACTTCTGAGTAACAGCATTTTGATAATAATGCTAGATACATCATCAATGCAACACAGCCAATGATTTCAATCCTTAATGGTTGTCATTTTCTATCCCATGATAATTAAAATTAAAGGGTGGTGGACTGATTAGGTTAGGTAAAAGGTAACATGTACAACCTGATTGTTAATACATAATGGCCTCCCCTGTTATAGTAACACTATTAATTTATTTGCTATTTTCAATAATTCAAATTTTAAAGTTTTTGTGGCTCCCAATCAATTGCTGTGGCCCCATGTTGAAAAACACTGTTCTATACCACTAGTTTAGCATGGTACAGGTACATAATTATTCTCAACTAAATGGGTCATTACACTTGTCCTACTCCCCCCCTAGAGTCTTATGGGAGCAGTAAAAGTTACAAGTTGCAACCTTGCTTAAATAAACCACATAATTTTTTGAAGACTTTACAATGTACAATAATACTCATATTATTAGTACCGGTAGTATAGGACCGGTACCGGTATAGTATTGGTAATGCTAGAATCACAGATCCAACAGTACAAAATAATGCTTACAATATTACCATACTATTAGTAATACTAGAATCACAGATCCAACTGTATAAAACAATGCTGTAAAACCATGTACGGGTATATAAAATATAATTGCAATATGCCTTACCTAATCTGTCGAGATGGTTTGTCTGGCCTCACTGCTTCGGTAGTTGCTGTTTCTGAGTTAGTCAACATGGGTGGGAAATTTTCAGACTTCGCTTTATCATCAGAGGTTATTGCCTGTGGATAGGGACATTACAAAAGGTAACTCATTCGCCAAAGATAAATGTTTTCTTTCTCAGTTTCTATCTACATTATAATAAATATAATACCGGTACATTATAATAATGGTGCCAAGAGGGAACAAACCAAACAATGGATTACATACAAATGGTATTGGCAATTGCGGTACCCATTCTGTCAATGTATGTATCCATAAACCAGTCTGTTGGTCTAGCAATATATGTTACGGTAAATTAAAAAAAAGAACCATAAATGGATTAAATCTCTACCTTCCTGACACAGATCATTCTCTAGAGAGAGTTAAAATTTTTAAAACTCAAATATGAAAATTGTTACCTCTATTATATCTGTAAGATAAGGCACCCATCGAGATGTAACAAATGTGTCTTCAGAATCTCTTGGTGTACGATTAATTGGGAGATAGGACAGTAACTTTTCTTGTTTCTAGAGCAGATTTAAATAAATAATATTTTAAAAGATCATATAAATTCATGTGAATAATTTTATTGCCCTTTAACTTTAATCCTTTGGTACTCGTACCGGTACTTAATGATGTACATGTTTAAATATGGTGATTAAATGAAACTAGTGAAATCACAATAGTATTCAATAGCATGTTTATATGTATAATTTTTCATATCAATATACCATACATCATTTAAAATTGCATTGACTTATCATTTACTTTGATTAAATACGATTTATTACAATTATTGCTCCCAACCATCAACTTCATATGCCAATTATGCTACTTTTTGTGATTGTAGAGAGCTAGAATGATTTAGACTTTGTGACTCTACCATCAATTATGTTTTGAAAATCATTTTAAAATTAAAACTAACCTTGCTTAAATAAACCACATAATTTTTTGAAGACTTTACAATGTACAATAATACTCATATTATTAGTACTGGTAGTATAGGACCGGTACCGGTATAGTATTGGTAATGCTAGAATCACAGATCCAATTGACAATTTAATCTATGTTAAGATTTGACTCTTAGAAAGAACAATACCTAACAAAGGATGGAGAAAAATAGTACCCAAAGAAAACATTACCAAAACTAGAGATACTAACAAAAGATTTTAATCATGATTAACAAAAATCAAATAGGACCATTTGATTAAATTTCATTTTCTTTGAGCTGAGATCCCTCAATGTTTCAAGATGGTGCAATGCCATAACTTTCTCAAGTACCCTTGAGCAATTTTCAAGAATCAGTATTTAGTTTTTCTTTTAAACTTTACAAGATGTGTGTGGTTGGTATTTTCTTCTGATGCAACAGGCTCTTTTGGTCTTAAACTTAAAGGTTTTGGGTCCTTTATACCACAAAGCAGTTGTGTGTGGCACCGGTACCAATAAAGAGGCTCAAGTTGACAAAAAATTAATTAAGTGAGTTGATAAAAATAAAAGTAAAATCAACATTGCTTATGTGCAAAAGGTTTGATTTATGAATTCATTTAGGCGGATATTTTCCTTGTCGTTCCATCTCTTTTAACATCACTATCAGTAAGGCATTTTTACTTGGTAATTTTAAAAGGCATAATTGGAATACTTATTAAATATTTGGTTGATTAAAGTTTCTACCTTGGATTAAAATCCTTTAAATTATGATCCAGAAAAGACAAATAGTTTAACTACTTTTATTTAAGTTAAGAATCTAAAGATATAGAATCCACCAAGCATTGACACATTAAATAAAAAATTTACAAAAAGAAAACGGCTAAATAAAATTTATTTTTCTAAAATACAGAGAGCCGACCAAATTAAAAAGCAAACATTTATCTTTTTAAAAAAATAAAGAAAAAACTATTTGATATAAAATATATGGTATGAAAGGAAGCTTAGAGAAATTGGTTATGTGAAAGAAAGTTTCTAAATGATTAGCTCTAAAGTTAAATATAAGAATAATTTTGTGAAATGAATTTCTATGCATATGTACAAAGCAATAAATTTAGATGGATATTTTTAAGTTAAATACTAATCTTGTTGCTTAATTCCATATTTTAAAATTAGTTTAGGTAAATTTCTAAAAGTGCTCAATTCTCTTTAATATAATATATTCCTTCTTTAGAAATTACCTGCTCATTCATCAAGTAAATACTGATTAAAAACAACATTAAAACAGTAAAATCCATAAAAATATAAAACAAAATCTTGCAGGTTTTGGGTTTCTAAATTTAAAAATCACTTCTTTATGGATTATTAACACATTTGAAGATAAACGAAAATAAAATATTAGTTGTTTATGGAATTTATAATTTTAAAAAACATACCTATCAGCAAACAGTAAAAAATTAGATTCAACAAGAAGGAAAACAATATAGCCTATTTATATGCTGACTATTACAACAACGTTTTTACTAAACTAAACAGAAAAATATAAAAGTATTATTGAACACAAAGGAAGAAACATGCAGCAAAAAAAAATTAAATAGCATGCATGCATTTGGCATGCATATTCTTACCACTGAATGGAGCTGTTCTCTGAAAGTTTAAATTTTTAATAGTATTTTTTATAAAAAAACGATACACATGAAAACATTTTGAAAAAAATTCAATTATTATTTTTTAAAATTAAATATGATGACAAATAGGTTCAGCAAACACAATATTGCTGAACATAAGATCAGGTCATTTAAAAATCATTAAAAAATAAAGGCTTCATAACAAGAAAGTAACATTTCTTTTTCATGCATAAAATTATGTGAAAGCAAAGTGTCAGAAATGGTGGCGGTACAAGCTGCATCATCAAAGCTATGAAAAAAAAATGTTAGTATCATTTAAAGAGAAAAAGATAATCATTACAAAATGTACAGTCAACAGTCAGTTTTTCTTTCAGCTATCTTGTGTATTGAAGATGGCTCTGAAAAAAAATCAATAAAGGAGATAGCTGCACATTTAAACTTACCTTTTCAGTAATTGGAACATCAAGGTTCTGAGTATTTAGGATAATGCATTCCTCCTCTTTGGGGATTAACGCACGTTCAGCAAGCTTGTTGAGGTTTTCTTTAGACATTCCTGAGAATTAATGCCTAATAATTTACCACAATGTAAGATTTTTATAATTATTTAACTCATTTAAAGTGCTAATTCAAAGGTTCTATAAATATGGGATTTGTGTCCTAAAAATGGGTTAGTGTTTGGACAACTGAGAGGGTTCTATGTCATATTTTTTTGCTGATTTTATGTGAAGTGCTGTGAGCCTAGCCCTAGGCTGGGATACCGCGCTATATAAGACCAATTTAATAATAATAATAGATCCAAGTAAAATGAGACATAGGCATTAAGACAAGGTCAGACAAATATTATCCTTTGTCCTTTTGTCAACTTTACCAACTATAAACTATAAAATACTATAATAAGACATATACTAATTCCAAAATATACAAATAAATTATGTAAGCAATGAAATGCTTCTTCCAAATCTAATATTTGAAATATATAAATAATACTCATTTTAAGTCACTGACAAATTGCATGTCATTAGCATTATGTTCGACACAAATTTAACTTAAATTAAAAGTATCAATACTACTACCGGTACTACTATATATTAGTAGTTTAACATTTGCTTCCCTTTATCAGTTAAAGCAGGCCTGCACAACATACGGCCAGCGGGCCGCATGTGGCCCGCCAGCACCCACTTGGTGGCCCGCGAAGTAACGAAATATTCTTTATTATTATTATTTTCGTAATAGCTTTCCCCTGTCCTAATATTTTTCGGCCCGCACAAGCTTTTCATAAAGTATTACGGCCCGCACAAGTTTCTCATTAAGTGTTACTGCCCGCCTTAAATTTTGAGTTGTGCAGGCCTGAGTTAGAGAATTCCAAAATTTTCAGGAACTTCATCTACTTTTACTAAAACTAAAAGATCCACAGATAAAAAAAAATTCTTAAAGTCTTAAAAAAGGCATAATACTAATAGTTATTAATGTACCGGTATGAAATTGCATTTTCTATTCCAACAATCAAGTGAAAGGGTGGGAATTTACTCACCTGCCTGACATATAACATGCAGCAAAATGATGCGTATTTTATCAAAAGTTGTGATGGTCTCATCAAGAAGAATGCCTCGGATGTTTTTTAAATGATCCTTAATTTTCTCCCCATTACCATCAACATCCATAGCCTGGTCCTTGATTTTTTTCAAGATTAATTGGAAGTTTAAGTAACGGTATGAAATAGTCATAGTTGAATAGTTTTACTAATGCAAAGAGAAATGAAAATGTTGAAAAAAATTTTTTTCCAGATAAATATAATGTCATACTATTTTATAGGATAGGCTGATGTGCCTCTTACAGGGACTGAAGCTGTTTTTTCCCTCAGCGTTTTGCTCCTCCCTGAAAGTACCTGCTGCTAAAATACCCTAATGGAGCTAATGAGATTTCTTTATGGCTGAGTGCAAGTGGGATTTATTTGAACCCAGTACTCCTGGAAATGAGTTGCAGAGCTTGAAAGGACAGTCAAAGTCCCTAGAAAGAGAGAACATCTGACCTATACCCCAGGCGTTCCACTTTATGCGGAACCTACACATCCCAATATACTATGGTGCTGAATGACACAGCAGCAACAAAATTCAGCCCTGTGCATGTTCAGAAAACAGCTGTCCTTGAGACCATAGAAGGGCTTGCCGAAACACCAGTGAAATTTTTAATGAATGAATCAGCCAACATGAGAGAAAGAAATGCAGGGTACGGTGCGCCCATCCTATACCCAGTTAGAGGGCCACCAAATGAGAAGCTTTCAGGGCCCTGAGGGACTGCAGCATCGAATTTCAATTCAGAGTTAGAAGCTATTTAAAGGGCACTGGTAAGTGTGCATTGAATGCTGCAGAGGTGGGAGCTTGTGGGCCTCTTGAGATCTTGAATGAGGAAGCACATACTATCCCCTTAGTTTGCACTATCTTAGACGACGTGGACAAGATTGGAAGGATCAGATGCAAAGTAACAGTGCCATGGATACAGAGTCATGTAAACATCACAGGCAATGAAAAAGCAGACACCCTGGCTAAAACCGGAGCTGCCCAGCCTCAGCCAGAAGCTCCAGCCACTTACCATGGCGTTAAAAACTGCCTGGCAGACCATTTTCGAAACATAATGGTACAAGCAATGGGCAGATAGCATGAAAGTCAGAGGTGTCTTCAGTAATATGCCACATACTAGCAAATTGGATATTAGGTGGAAATAGGGTTGCTGACATTAGAGCCTGGTGACCCAAACTGAGAACCAAGCCCTACCTTACTAATGCATATTTCACAGGCTAGACAACAACAGGGACCCGATCTGCTGGCATTGCAGCCTGGTTCCAAAAAATCTAGCGCATCAGTTGACTGAATTGAATGCCCAGCTCTAGATGCTGCAGGGGAGGCCAGTGAGCGGGAGATTCCTACATTACAACAATATTATATGGCATGGCCCAGCAGATGGATCTGGTTGCCAATGTACTAGCAAGGGCTTTAAGAGCATAAGCTCAAGCCTCGATCAAAATATGTGCGTTAGTCAGTTACCTGTTCCACTTTGCACAACTTCTCCACTTGAGTGGAGTAAAGATGCATGCACTCCTCAGCAAGAGCAGAGTGGGCGGCAAATTTACTTAATTCTCTTTGATACTCTGGAGCTGCTTTTATCATTTGGTTAAGGTCTCGAATGCTGGGCTTCTCAGATGTCTTCATGGCCCTGGTCTCAGCAAACTGCTTCAGTTTCTTACTGACTTCTCTGAAAATTTTAAAAAACAAAACAAAATCAAATCAATGTGAAAGGGACAGACCACACCATCTTTTGAGATGATGACCCACTTTTAACTTGAATAGTTTCAGGATAAGATATAAATAGAGCACACCATCTTTTGAGATGTAAAAGGCTACAATAAATACACAGATAATCCAAAAAGCAATGAAGATATGAAAATATGTTTTATTAAACTTTAGAATACTTAATTATACTCATAACAAGATTTAATATTAATTTAGGAATTTAAATTATTGTTTGTTAATTTACTACAATTTAATTAAATTTCTTAAGTGTTTTACTGTTATAAATTATACAGTACATTGCAAATAATTTGAATAAAAACATTAAAGTTAGTGAAAAAATTGTGCCATATATCAATATCTAAATGAAAAAAAAAAATAATAAAGAATATTTGAAAAATTTCCAATTATTAAAAACTTACTGTAAAACAATGGCTATGTGTTTGTGCCGTAACTCTACCCAAAGGGAATCTTTTTCATCAAGCCTACATTGTTTCTCCTCTGTTTCATCACCACTTGAGTTGGAATATCTGTAAAATGTATTAATTTTATTTACCCTAAGCATTAAGTTCAAAATTAAGAAATATGATGATGGTAATTAATGATAATAATAATAGTGCTAAAAACTGACTTTTCATTAATAAATAATTGCAAGAAATAGAATAAAATATAAATTTTATGGAATGAAATTTAAAAAATGTTTTTAAAAAAGGAACATAATATTTTGAAATTATTTTTTGTCATTTTGTATGGTATTATGCTTAAGTCATAAGAAAATATGTTTTTAAAGGTAAATAATGCAAAAGCCAATTGAAACATAGATCTACAGTTTTACATTTTTCCAAATAACACTCTAATTTTTAAAAGTTATTTTATAAAACCTTTTAAATGGAACAAATCTTACTTATAGATATCATTTACTATAGGCAGTAGATCATAAGCCATTGCCTGAAATGTCAATTCATGAAGCAGAGGTGAGATTGGATCAAACCCTCTGTCTAGTACCAGTAGAATAGAGTTTTCTTTCTGGTGGCCCTAGCAGAATATTAAGAGGCATTAAAATCAAACTCATATTTTTCTTTGTAGTAAACATCAGGCACATATCAATTAAATTTTATGAGTAGAATATGTAATTTTACAGAACAGAATTAAGATTTTAATTTGCTAATTGTTTTTAAAAAATGACATTTCATGAATGATTTAATATAAAAACTTAATGGTAGCATACAATATTTATAAATACTGTAGAATCTATTTTCTATCTTATTTTGAGAATTCTAATTAATTTCTATTCTGACTACAGGTACTTCTAATTATGATGGCTTTTAAATGAAATGGATGAGGATTGCATATGAAATATATTTGAAAATCAAGCACACCCCTACAACTACCTTGATATTGGTATTCTCGAAGTGGGAGAGGAATAGAGGAGGGATGATATTTTTTACTCATATATCTAAAAAAAAATTTCTGTTAAATGCATCCTTTGGTTATATTTTAAGATCTAAAACACTCACGTGCCCATTTTATTGTTATTCCTTTTATAAAAATCAACTTGTTCCTTTGATAATCTTTGGTTATATTTTAATACGGTACCCGGTATCTAAAACACTCACCACACCCATTTTATTGTCATCCTTCTTATAAAAATCAAGTTTTTCCTTTATAAGCTTTGCAAACTCTTCATTCTGTTTAAAGGCTCTGTAATCAAAAGAAAATAATCTATAAAACCCCTTTTATAAATTAATGAGCAACATTTTGGAAATGTTATTTAATGAAACAAAAAATACCTAAGTGCTAACTAAACAATGAAAAAATTCATTACATAAAATTGTTTTTTAACAGGGTTAGATCTAAACAAATTAAATCATTACTTTTTATAAATTTTTCAAAGTAATAAATAAGCTTACGATCTGTATCTGACAGTTGGGTATTCCCCTAAAGTAACACACAAAGTGGCAATTTGATCAGCACATCTGTCTAGATTAGTAACATGCTGTGATGACTTGTTTGGGCTGTAGTAGAACTTGAAGACTTCTGGTGAGTCTAGAGAATACACCTAGAAATACAAAGTGTTTTATATTAACTGCAATAATTCAATTAAAAGATAAACGGGCTGAAATGACATTGTTTTTTAAAATAATTTTATTTATTGAAAATGTGTATTTCAACATCTAGGTCTATTTATTACTTTTTATACATTGATGCTGTGAAGGGATGTGGTGCGGCAATGAGTTTTAAATGCATTTAAAGTCTTCCCGTTACTTGTAATGAAAAGTTAAAAAAAACATTATAGTTATAGTCTTAAATTTGTGTTTTAAGTTATGTGGGTACAAATATTATTTTAGTGATATCGATTTAAGATAGGAAGAAGAGGCATTATTATATTTCTATTGTAAAAGCAGCTGCCATTGATGTCCTCTTAAAGACTTAATGACGAAAACTTGATATAAGTAACTCATTTTCCTTTTAAGAGTAATGCAGAAATTTTTTTAAAAATCTTGTACAAAAACAAAGTTATTTCTCCTGCACCACTTATCAATAGAAATGAGAAGGTCCTTCAATACCAAAGTTCATATTATTTGTAATTACAAAGAGTTTTATTTTTTACATCTTTGAACTAAGTATTCTAATAATGTTCATAGACAAAATGATTAAGTGGTTAACTGCTCACCTGAGATTCCATGGGGTAAAATGACACATACATTTCTTTCAATGTTTTCAAAAACTTTGCAACACGTGCTTTGCACAGCAAGTTGAAAAGCTCATCAGGGCATGCTGAGATGAAAGGAATTAAATTTAGAATGTACTTATCAAGTCATTAAAAAAAAATTAAATATGAAAATTTATTTTCATACTAGGATTAAGAAGTAATTTAAGCAATTTAAGTAACATACTTCACCTTCATTAAAAAAAACATGAGCAGCTTTATATAAAGATTTTGTAGGATCCCGAAAGTCATTTGTGAGTGCTGTTATTGACTGTTGAGTGAAATTGAAAATAAACAGAAAGTTTATTTTATTATTATAATTTATGACACACAATTAAATTCTTTTTTTTATTGGAAAATCAATTTAATATATCCCATTGAAAATTCAAAATCAAGATAAAACATTATTTTAAAATTTGATTATTCTATTTTTCTATTACCTTTTCATTTGGAGTAATAAAGTAAACTGCCTCCAGTAAAGGAAGTGGTTCCCTTTTCTTATACAAATCCTCCACAACTGAAAATTAATACCAAGTACAGTTATTAGTTAAATAAATACATTTTTTACAGTTGCAATTATTGATTTTTAAAAATTCATGTACCTTTGTTAACTAATATAATTATTTAAAAGAGAAGTTCTTTATGATATGTTATAGAGGTAAAAGTAAACATGATCAATTTCAAACAATGGAAACATACGTGTTATCCCTTCGGATACAATGTCATACATAGCACAGCTTTTGTTGAGAATTTGTGTGCAGAAACTGTCTAGAATGAGGACTTTCCATTCTTTTTTTTTTTTTATCAACCTTAGTTCTTTTAGAATATCTGTTCATATTTTTGGCAAGAGAATGAAAATGAGTAAATGATGAGTAAAATACATTAATTGAAATAACAAATATGTCAGTAAAATTTCAGTCCCATGTTTGGATGTTTCAACAGGCTATGAGAACACATTGCCTCTGGCATAAAAGATTTTTATGGACTAAAAATTAGGCTAAACCAAACTGAAAAGATGAAATTAATAAGGAAAAAAGAGCATAGGGGAAACATTGAAACTTATACAATTTTCAGCACATTATACTATTCAGCAATGTCTTAAATAGTTTCTACACAGTCTTGGCCTATAGATAAGATGTTCGCTATTCAGCAATGTCTTAAATAGTTTCTACACAGTCTTGGCATATAGATAAGATGTACACTATTCAGCAATGTCTTAAATAGTTTCTAAAAAGTCTTAGCCTATAGATAGGATGTATTTTATTTCAGTTTTCTTAAAATACATTACAAAATGAAAGAGCCTAGGGCCAAGAAATATACTAGAAAATGTAAAATGAGAAAAGTTTTAATATGCATGTGACATGTTAATTTCGATATTGCACTAAATGGTACATAAGTAAGGAAGAGTAGGTGGTAATGACAGGAGAATAAGTGAGTGAAAGGACAGGTGAAAGGAGAAAGGGTCGGTGAAGGGAGAAAAGGCCGGTGAAAGAAGAAAGGGCAGAGGAGGGGAGTGAGAAACATTAGAGATAGAGGGGAAGGGGAACACAAGGTATTTTTGTGTTAAAGTTTTAGGTTTAGTGAAAGGTCAGTGAGATAGGATAGGGATGAGGTGGTAAAGGATATGGGGTAGATAGAATATAGGAGGGAAAAATACCTGGTAGAGAGAAGAATAGGTGGTAGAGGGAAGAGGAAGGTAAGGGTGTGAGGGGAAGGGGGGAGTAGAGGGACATATGGTAGGGCAGTGGAGGGTTTAAAGGGAGGGTGATGACAAAGGAGGGTTAAGGGGAGAAGAGCATTGTTTGGGGTGTCACGTGTCACCCCCCCCCCCATACATGTACTGATTCTCTCACTCTCACTCTGAGTGATTGTAGTTTAAAAATAAAATAATTATAATTTTTGTATTAAAGAATCATATTAAAAATTTCTGTCATTTAGGGTCATCAACTGCAATTTTTCACTATAATATTCCGCTTTTCATGTGACGTCACATTGCTTAAGTTTAAGTGTCCGCCCCCTTCTCCTCATCACAAAAATGTGACACCCCCCCTCCTCCCTAAACTTCTGATGTCATTTATGGATGGCTACCAAGTGTTTTTTGGTTGTTTGGGGAGGGGGGAGGAGGAACTAAACCTGGTAAATTTTCACTTGTGCGTGTGTTATTAAAAATCATGTTGTTCCCGATTTTATGAACTTTAATTTAATTTGTTCTTCTTGTTTTCAAAATTTTAACAATGATTACAATGTATGTAATTTATTTTTAGTAAAGAAGTGGAAGAAATCTATGAGGATTATAATATTTTAAGTTTAAGTAAGTCTAATTTATTTGAAGGAATAACTTATTATTTATTATGACTTACATTTAATACTACTACTACTACTTCTACTACAAGTACTAGTACTAATAGTCTACTCAGGTGAGTAGGCGTAGGCCTTCAATTAAATCAATTCAACTAAACTAGACTAGGACTAGGACTAGGCCTAGGACTACTTTTACAATTACAATAATAATAATACCCAAAAGATGAAATTAAAATCATAAAAAAAGTAATCGCCTTTTTAAACCAATATGAACTATTTTAAAACAATATTTCACATTCATTTAGAATTAGCTTACTTTCTCGTACTGCAGCCTTTAAAACCATTGTTGATTTTGGTAAACAAACTTTCTAGGAAATCAAAAAAAATAAAAAGTTGCTACAGCTACGCCCATTTTATTCGAAACAAAGTTTGTTAAAAATAACTTAACTGAATAAAATACGAAACAAAACAAATGTTTTAAAATCCCATTAATCATAACACCTTTTTGACTTTATATAGTATCAGTAATTAAAGCAGAAAATAATAACATATAATACTAAAAAGACGAAGTGGGTGGGGGGGGGGGAGTTAAATATTTTTCAAAATTGAAGACAAGCTCAAATCTTTTATTTTCCTTCTTCTATCATATTATTGAGTATTTAGTTGACAATAAATTATATATCATATATCCTGTCGGAATTATGTCCACACAAATGTCAATTTAATGTGGCCATGCATCCAGGGGCGGCTCAAGATACCGGTAACTTGGGCAGTTACCCGGAGCGCCATGTGCTTAGGGTGCCATCAACAATCTTCCAAAATAAGAAAAATCATTGCATGTGGGCGATATGGAAGAGAAATAGAAGTTGCAATAAAAAGATTTTTTGATCTAAAAGCTAGGAAAAAAATGTCATTGGTAGGCTAAAATTATCCGTACTGTCCACGTTAGGCTAATTGTTCATACTGTCCATGTTAGGCTAATTGTTCATACTGTCCACGTCCACGTTAGGCTAATTGTTCGTACTGTCCATGTTAGGCTAATTGTTCACACTTCCCACGTCCACGTTAGGCTAATTGTTCATACTGTCCATGTTAGGCTAATTGTTCATACTGCCCACGTCCACGTTAGGCTAATTGTTCATACTGTCCACGTCCACGTTAGGCTAATTGTTCATACTGTCCATATTTAAGTTAAGAAAAACAATGTTATTGTTCATTGTTTTTTTTTAACCTAGGTAATAAACTCATTAACCAATCCACAGTTTTTACTTTGCACAATAGTTTATGATTATATTTAAAAGGGGTGACAAAGTTAAGCTTGACTGGGGCGCCAAAGTTAATAATAATAATAATAAGTGGTCTTATATAGCGCGGTACCCCGGCCTAGGGCTGGGCTCACCGCGCTGTACATATATAGCAAAGAGGCATAATCATAATATTAAAATAAAATACATAAATGAAATAAAAACAACATATAAGCAAAACAACACCAGAGGTATATTCAGCCACCCACACCAGACATTTTTACAAGGAAACCCATGTACGTTTATCGGTTTATAGGAGGAGAAACATTATGCGGGTTATTGTTGGGAGCAAGATATCTAATGACTCAACCAACAGGGGGGTTGGGATGGGATCCAAATAACATGACGTATGTTTAGATTTTAGGATTATATTTTTTACCTCAAGTTCTGAAACAGGTTTAAAAATATTAAAATGGGAAGTAAGACAAGGGAAAGGAGGCAATTCAAGGGGAGGGGCATCAAGACGATCAAGCTCAGCTCGAATGTCAGCTACTTTGCTTGTAAAGAAATTACAGAAAATATCTGGTTGCTTGGGCAGGGGAAACACCGAAGGAAGCGCAGTTCCTTTGTTACTCCCCCTAAGGTGACCACAAACATCAAACAACTGCCTGCTGGTTTTACCCATAG